GATATGCTGACTCTGTAAACCGCTTAGAGAGGGCTGAAAGCCCTATGAAGCGGTATAGAAGTCTAACTGCTATTGCTATTGCTATTGCTATTGTTCCTTCCCCAGCCATCAGCCCCCAAAGGAGCAGAGATCAACTCCCAGGCTGGCACCAGGCCAACCCTCAAGAAGTAATCAATGTCCCAATCAGGGAAGTGCCAAGCAAGCCAAACAAACAGCCTCCAAGAGCAGCACAGGGCCAGCGACTAGAACCTAAACTCAAAGCAAAGCCCACTCTCCACCAGCACTGATGTTGTTCCCTGGTTCGGCCATGAAATGTCTGCAAGGAAAGAACCGAGCCCAGAGAGGACCTAGAACCTCACAGTTCTCCCCCTCCTCCTCTCCACAAACCCTCGATCCCTTCCGATCCTGTAACCTAGTTCGGCCATGAATCCTCCTCCTCCCCACTCTCCTCTAGCACTGATGATGTTCCCTAGTTGGGTCATGAAACGTCTTCAGGAAAACTACCCAGCTCAGAGAGCGCCAAGCCCCCCCCCCCAGTTTCTCCTACCAAAATGGGATGGGCTGAAAGGAGGAGCCCTCCAAGCACGTCTTAAAGGCTTCCCTCCAGATGGGAAGAAACGGGGAAAGGCTGGGCTGAGAGGGCAACTCACCCATAATGGCGTCCTCGCAGACGTAGCCACAGTCTCCCGGGCAGCATTTCTGGGTGCCTGGGCACTGGTCATCCCTGGCACAGGTGGAGCAGGAGGCGTTCTTCTGGCAGGCGCTGCAGTCCTGGCTGTCGAAGACGTCCCCCAAGGGAGGCAGGTGGTAGCAGTAGCCCTCCTTGGCTGCAAAGAAGGAAGGAGAAGGGAAGCCCAGGGAGGGAACAATGGGGAGGGGAGGTCCTGGGGGCTAATTCCCCCTTTGGAAGAGTTTGGGCCAGGCACCCTTCGCTTTCATCGAGCTCTCTCCGTCCCCTGGCCAACGTGGAGGCAGATCCAGTCTGTCCAGAAGCCAGTTGAGTAGGGAGGGATGGATGGATGGATGGATGGATGGATGGATGGATGGATTGATCACTTGGTGGGTGGGTGAATGGTTGGTTTACCATCAAACCTTTGTCAACTGTTAGCAGCTACGCAGTTAGCTGAATGCGGAGCCTGCCCTAACTTCTGTGTAGGCGGCTGAATATTTGGGTGAAGGCTCCTGGGGTTCTCTAGAAAGGTTCTTGAGGGTCCTGGATTTCAACCCCCTGCCCCAAGTCTTCAGCTAACTCATGGGGCTGTTGGGAAAGAATGGAGAAGGAAGGAGGGGGAGGAGAACCTCCCACCCTTGAACCCCAGAATGGGGCGAGGATTGCACAGACAGAGTTGCTGTTTGAGAAAGTTGGGCAGTTTCTAAATATACTATAGAAAATATCTCTCTCTCTCCATCTCTCTACACATCCATCTAGATCTATTATTACTATCTCTATCTCTCTATATCTATCATTTATCTATCATCTACAGTATCTATCTATCATTTATCTACGGTATCTATCTCTATCTATCTATCTATCTATCTATCTATCTATCNAGTTCAGCAGTTCGGCTGTTCAAATCCCACTAGGCTCAAGGTTGACTCAGCCTTCCATCCTTCCGAGGTGGGTGAAATGAGGACCCGGATTGTTGTTGGGGGCAATATATGCTGACTCTGTAAACCGCTTAGAGAGGGCTGAAAGCCCTATGAAGCGGTATATAAGTCTAACTATTGCTAATAGTGGCTTCCGGCTGGCCAGAGGTGACCACTCACCTTTGCAGGCTGTGAGACACTCGCCTTCGGAGTCGAAATTGTTCTTGTTGCCACCACATCCCCCATAGATGAACCGTTCACATGTGTGCGTGGAAGCATTGTAGAAGAAGCGTGAGAACATCGCCTTGCAGATGCCACAAACGGAGGGCAGCTGGCAAACATCTGCATCAGCCAGAGAGAGACACAAGATGAGACAGGGGACAAAGGGGAAATCATCTCTAGAAGTCCTCTAAGGAGGAGAAATAGTCCTAGAAAGTTCCCTGCATGCAGGGAGTTACAGAAAATTAAAAAAAAAATAACTTCAAATACACAGAGAGCATTTCAGGGAGAGGCTGTGGTCAGTGGCGCCACCTTGAGGCCAATCCCGGGGTCACTGAATTGAATTGAATTGAATACTTCATTTGACCGAGTGTGATTAGACCTAGAAGGAATTTGTCTCCGATGAAGAAGCACTCGGTGACCATGGAAAGCAACCGAGCAAAGCGATTCATCCAGGACAGAAGAAACCTGGAATTAAGAAGAAACTTTCTAACAGTGAGGACAATTAACCCGTGGAAGAGAAGTTGCCTCCAGAAGTTGTGGTTCCTCCATCACTGGAGGTTTTGAAGAAGAGACTGGACAGCCACCTGTCAGGAATGCTCTAGTGCAGTGTTTCTCAACCTTGGCAACTTGAAGATGTCCGGACTTCAACTCCCAGAAATCCCCAGCCAGCATTCGATGTTGCCCCCCTCTTCTTTGGGGCAGCCCCTCAAATGCTGGGAGAGTGCCATCCTGCCCCCCCCCACAATCTTCCTGTTCTCTAGACTCTCAAAAGCCAGAGAGGGAAAGAAGAAGGAGCGAAGGAACGAGCAAGTGGGGGAAAAAGAAATCCGCAGGGCTGCCAAGCAAAGCCAGAAGCCAAGCAGCTGGGCGTGGGGGGAGGCCAGAACGAATGAAAGCTCCAGAGCTCTGTGTCACCCCCTCCCCCAAGGAATGCCACCCGGGCCACGTGCCTCTGCTAGTCAACAGCCCCACCCTGGCCGTGATGACACACCGGGGAGATTCCCTTCTAGCACTAAACCCAGAAACTGGAAGAAATGTCAGGCATGCGAGGGAGAAGTGTGGTGGGGCAGGTATCGGCATTCTCACCCCCTCCCCAAAGAGCCAAAACCTCCCTCCCTCCATGCTGGCGAGGAAGTTGCCATGAGCTGGACGGGGGTGGATTTCAAGCCCTGGGAAGGGTATAGGTATAGGTAGTTTATTTATATGCCACCTTTTTCCCTGGGGGGAATCAGGGCGGCTCACAGTTCAGAAGGAAGGGGGGACAAACAGATTAAACACATAAGACAGTACATCGTTAAAAGCACAACATTCATACTATTCGGGTGGGTTACAGTCTTTAGCCCCAGGCCTGTCGGGACAGCCAGGTTTTAAGGGCTGTGTGGAAGGTCTGGAGGGTGGTGAGGGTGCGAATCTCCACCGTGAGTTCGTTCCATAGGGTCGGAGCTGCCACCGAGAAGGCTCTCCTCCGCGTGGTTGCCAGTCGACATTGACCGGCTGATGGAACTCAGAGGAGGCCTAGTCTGTGGGATCTAATTGGTCGAGTGGAGGTGATTGGCAGTAGGCGGTCTCTCAAGTTGACCAATTATGAAGAATGCTAAAAGTTGTAATTCAGTGAAGTTGAAGA